ATGTGACCAAAATGTTTGAAATTTCTCACCCCAGGTAGCCACAGTCAAATTTTATCTATCACCTCATATCTGTCAAGATCCTTGGATTACTTCAAATCTACAAAGGCTGTTTGCTCTGTCTCAAGTTGTTTGTGATCCATTTTACCGTGTAAGTTAAGGGTTTGTAAAACTCAGTGCACCTTCACTGTTGCCAGAGCCAGTTTTGAGAAGTTTTTACTAATTCTCTCCAACTCCAAACCACAGAAGTATCAGTGTTGTTGTAACTTTTAACTTGAAAATGATGCCAAAAGAAGCAGACACAAACCTACTTCACCTATTACCTGGACCCTATCTACTCTGAAACAGTCTGTCATAGCTCAAAGCCCAAAGTAAGTCAACATTTATGGCTTAATTATGATGATGTAATGCAGTGTAATCTGTGTGCACGCTACTTTTTATTCAGTCAGTCATCATACAGGAGTTTTCACAGTCCAGACATTTTAAAGACAAAGGCGACAGTCCAGTTCAAAGTAGTGACCGGGCGAGTGTAGGCAGAGACAGAATGCTTATTTCCACTATCCAAGTCCAGAGTAAACAACAGGTAAATCACTGACTCTAATGGGGCGCTCACACCAATGGCGAGTAAAATCATCAACTCGCTTAATTCGCGCAAACCTAGACACGTAAATGAAAAGTATTTACTCGCTTCATTCACGTGTCAACGGTAATTTCAATGTTCATCTCTGCCAATTTAACCGGTGGGATCAAGTGATAGACAAACGTTTTTTACAATATACCAAGTAATCCGACCTCCTCACTCACTTGCCTCCAGGTGAACTCCTTTTATTCCAGTTCCGGTAATTGAAAGAGAAGGTATCATATAATTCGGGGCACCCACACACCAACATGATTGGTTTGTCCTCCATTTTAGATACCAGTGAACAACCGTCCATATTCATCACCCGGCAACCTTTGTGCTGATTAAGTATCGCAATGCGAATATCCACTCAAGTTGAGACATATTCTGCTTACACCCAATTTGCGTCATTCGCGCCGCCAGAGTAGTAGGAGCATCTAATCGCATCTTTACATTGACTTAACATGTAATTCATTCGCCAAATGATTTTACTCGCGCTTGGTGTGTGGAGACAGTAACAAACTTCAAAAACAGCTTTTCAAACCATATTTTTTTACGTTGAAGTCAATCGTGATTTGTTGTGTGAACTTACAGACATTTCTTGAATCATATCAACTCTCTTAAATTGAAAATAACTTTTTTACACAGAGTGGACATGACGTTATTTTGTTTCATTTCATTCATAAATTTCTTCTCGTTGATAAATTCAATTGAAATACACAAAAAGGACAAGCTGACAAATCATTCAATTCTTTGGTTCAATAAAAACAGAAACTTACAGAGGGAGAAAAGCCTGCCGACAATGTCAGTAATGAAAAGTTGAAACGCATCTCTACTAGCTTTAATTTGAAAAGCAGCCTCCTCTTCCTGTTTTGTTTCAAACAACACAATCCCACCAGGATCATGTGTTGCAAACTGATTCCCAGATGATCAATAAATAGATAATCAAGCTGATCATCTGTAGAGGAGACTTGATACTGCTGAGATGACAGATTCCGTCTCTCGCTAAACTGTCATGTAAATCTTTAACACTGATGTCAAACTATTTTTGGAGCCTTTAGTCGGCGCCGTTATGTTCCCCAGCAGAAAACCTCATGCAAATAAAACACGTTTAAACTCTGGCCGACATTCAGAAGCATTCATCGCCTCGCCTTTCTCCCTTTTCTCTGCTCTCGTTCCAGCCCAGACCTGATCCACAAATGTCACCTCCACTCGGCGAATAAAAGGAGAGGAAGACATCGAGGAGGAGGAGGAGGAAAAGAGAGAGAGGGAGAGTGTCATAAAATGCAAATGCAGCCGGCGTCCGCTTTTTTACAAATTAAATGTCAGGACGTAAAATATTGTCAGTTTCATTTTGCCACCAGAAGGATGACAAATCCATATTCTGCCTTAAATAAAACTCTCGCCGCCGAAGAGGGGTAATCATGGTGGAACAAAGCGGCGTGATTAACGATAGCAATTTATTGTATCTGGCGGCCGGCGAGGGAGACATCATGGTTATCATAATTCATATCGTAAATAACCGGGCCCGGCCAATCACAAGGAGGCGCCGATGTCATCCCAAATAACCTTTGATAACAATTACCATAGAAGGAAGTACAAACCCCGGAGTCACAATGTTATCTTATCCCCATTCTCTGCTTGTAGAATACAACACTATTACCATATAGATTAGACTATTTATAATGCTGCGTGTCGTTCTGGGTGCGGCTTTAAGTTGTCAACGTGTGTGTGTAGGTAGAGACACAGTGAGGTGTGTGAGTGTGTGTGTGTGTGGTAGGTGGACCTGTCGTTGGGAGCAGATTATAGCCGGGGTCTTTATGAGGAGCTGAATTGCCCCTCGCTCAGTATCACACGGACGCACATTGCCAGGGCGGCCCAGCGTTTCATAATGGTGTTGCGTGTGTCCGTGTGTGTGTGTGTGTGTGATCAGAGAGGGGTCAGGTGTGTATGTGAGTGTGTGTTTCAGTGGGTGGGGACTCTGAGTGTGAGATGAGGGGAAAACTAGAGGAGGAGATATTAGCAGGGAAGCGTTGATAAGTGTTGGAGATTAGTGGCGGCGTATCTTGTCCGAGGTGTTGTTCCTCCTTGTTTTATCTGCTGATAGAAATTTTCTGATGGAGAGCGGCGATATGTGGATACACACACTCACACACACACACACACACACACACACACACACACACACAAGGCCCACCCACAGTTGCATATTCCCGCCCATGTAATGCAAAGTGTGCCCCTTCACCTGCTCTGAAAATTCATTGAGACATTTTTTCAATTAGTGTAAAGACTGTACAGTAAACCCTCGCAGAGAATCTACAGTCTCTGCCTACCAAAGCATTAAAGCTACCATGAGCATTTTTATTAGGCCACCAGTAGCGCTCAGGAGACCACTTACACACTAAGTCAAAAACACGAATTTTACAACAAAAATACACCTGATTGAAGCCTGGTCCAGTTATTATACAGTCTATGGTGTCAGCTTATAACAGGCCTGTTGACCTCAGGTCTGAGTTTGGCTGACCATATTCTGACTTCCCAAAAAGAGGACACGACTACGTGGGGTTGGAGTCACAGAGTCACACAAAGTTAATTTTGAGAGTTTTTTGGGTTTAGGGTTTTTGGGTCGAGTGTCTTTTACACGCTTCTAACTCAGTAAATCCACGTGACACAAACTCGAAAGTTCCTTACAAAACCGCGGACATTTGAAGGATTTTATAAACTTCCTCGAACAAATACTGGACAAGGCTGAAAAGCCCCCAAAAAGAGGATATGTCCAGGTAAAAGAGGACGTATGGTCACCCTATCAAAGGGACGTCCTCAAATCGGCATATTGTGATGTGCCTAACTGTTGCAGAGAGCTTGACCCCCAATTTCTACTGCATCCGGAACAGCAGCGAAAAGGCTGATTGCAGCTGATCGTTTCTATTCAAGTGAATGTGTCATTTTCCACCGGCTTCTTTCCGTTCCACTGCGGTTCGGCGGATTCTGCAGCTGATCGCCAGAGTACACATTTTTTGCCGCATAAATTCAGCACAGATAACCCTGTGCTGGAGAAAGTTGGGCACAGACACAAAATAAAACATCCGGCTTCTTTTCAAAATAAAACACTCCATGTTTCAGGCGGATCGTATTTCATACCATGCAAACGTGGGTGGACACGAACAAGTCAGAGGTTTTCAGACATCATTTTACCCCGATGACACCATGGATGAGGAGATGCTGATTCTAGAAGTCTAGAAGTGAATTTCCTCCTCTGGAAGGACACAATCTACTGCTTATAAGTTTATGTGGCTGTCTTTACAGAGACAACTCATTATCGCGCGATTGCACGTGAATCCACAGGTTCTTGTGAGTTCTTGCGATTCCCGCTGTCTGCAATCTGCCATGAAATTTGCCTTACAAATGCATCAGGTAGGAATTGGCAAACGGCAATAATCCACCGCTGCTGTTCCGGATGCGGTGGAGATCAGGGGTTAATGTCACTCCTGTAACACCTAAGAGCAAAATGCTGTTGCATTACCCCGGGATCACTGGACATCAATGAGTAATCAAAATCCATCCCTCATTATCTTGACCCTATATCTTGATTGGGCCACAGAGTCAAACCAGTCAAGCACAGGGCCAAACAACCGTGCATGCACTTAGCTAGACCGATGAGCAATTAACATTGATCACTTAACCTAAAAAGCATGCTTTTGGACTTTAGGAGAAAGCAGACGTGCACGGAAACAAAAACAAAAAGACCCCCAATGATCCAGGATTAGAACCAGGAACCCTCTTGCTGTGATGCAGCAGTGCTTCCCACAGCACTGGGCAGCTTACATTGAGAGTGGTCTTGAAGAAACTGCACATCATGACACTGTCTGGACATTTTGTACATGCACTCCTACATATTCTTTAACGTGAGAGTGTCATTCGTAAAAAAGAAGATATTAGAAATAAGAAAGAATGCTTTGGTGTAGCTTTATTTTGACTTAAAAATCAAAAAGTCATGATAATAAAGTTAATTTCATCACATCCATTGAATTTCAAACCAAGAAACGTCTAAAAACTGCTTTATTTTGTTCAATGTAACTTAAAATACCTACTTTGAAAGGAGTCTTGAACCTTAGATAGATCAGAGGGGTGGAACAGAAAGGTGTATAGGACATATTGTAAAATAAAAGCACAGAGCGATAACATTTGCCACAACTTGTAGCTATAAAAGGGGAAGCAGGAGCCAGATAGAGTTAGAATCAGTCCAAAAGCGCACAAAGAAATTCAACATCGCCTTTGGATATTTGCAGCTGTGTTTGGCTCTTCTTGTGCAAACACCTGAGACAGCGAAGAAAAAACTGAGAACAAAAAATGTCTTCAAAGGACACTTCACTTAAAGGAGGAGATGAGGAGAGAGGACGAACACAAGGACGAGATAAAACAGAGCGCGAGCGAGGAAGAAGAGAAGCGACCAAAGCAAGGACAAGGTGAAGGAGAAGAGAGATATTTTATTCTTTTGCTTAAATTCACAGAGGAAGAATTCACAGTCTCCTCATTTCTTAACTCTCCAGTCCCAGACAACAAACGTAAGATGGCGAGACGGAAAAACAGGCCTGAGGTAGATAGGAGGAGATAGAAAATAAAAAAGAAAGTTACGTATTTTAAAGTCAAACTGAAGAGCAGGGAAGGAGTGAGACCTCTGAGGACATAAAGTAATGTTAAAGCAGACTCAGTGCTATAATATCAGTAGTTTTTGGCTCAGAGATCCCTGTGTGGGCTCACGAACAGTTAATCTCTCCTGACAGGATCTTCATTTGAATAAAGATTCTGTCAGCGGCGTGTGCTGCTGGTTCGCTTAAGAGGAGGACCTACAGGAGCTCAAATTGCTTTGACATATCACAGCTGATGGGAGGAAGACGCCGTCCTACCTGAGACACCTCAGCGTTAACTTCAAAATCTGCAGGAATGTCAGGAAGAAGTGGCCAAATCTGTTTCCGAGATATTAGAGAGGCTTAGATGCTGCACGTCAGAAAAATGCCATGTGTCCTTTTGATTTTTACATTCGAGCTGCTCTTCAGTCAGCTGATGTTTGTCAGATGCACGGGGCAGATATTACATAAAACTTTACGGGCAGTTAGGTGGTGGGAGAAAAGATGTGAAATCGTGTTGTCAGTAGAGAGACAGTCTTAGCTTCGAAACTTAAATCTCTGCATGTTGATTTTACTTTTCTTTAATCTCAGAATGAAAATGATCTGTTACTTTAATGGTTTATTTAGGGGACGATGCTCCCTTTGCAAATATTGGGGGACACGTCGATCGAGCCCTCTCTGAGATCATTGCCATTGGCATGGATGCCATAGTTAGGAAAAAGGGGGACTGACCACTTTGAGTTTCAGTCCTTGAAGGATCTGGAACAAATACTGTTATAAATTAAGTTTTACTGGCAAAGAAATCAGTACAATTTATTAATCTTAATGCACGAAGTTTGGAGTCTCCCTCTGTTCCTTCGTGTCCCTATCAAATGTGTAAAAAACTGAGGCCTGTCTAGCCAGATTATTCATCTGACCACAGTGTAACGAACCAAGTGACTGATGTTTGAGAATCCTAGCATCAAAACCATAGACCGCATTAAAAATGGATATAGTCTCAGTGACAGCAGGCATTGGTTTCATTTTCTGAAGAAGAGTTTCGAAGTAGGAAGATGATGGCTGCCATAGTGGAAATACTGACCAACCTTAAAGCTTCTGCTAGGCGCCTCCTGTGGACACAGAAGACTTTACAGGTCTTCTGTGACTTAGTATAAAACCCACTCTTTTCGTGAGACCGGCGCCTTTCAGAAGATGATCGTTGAGTGTTTCTGCACCATCCAGGAGCATTTTCATCCAACAAAGACGTTCTATTCAGAGACTGTCCACATCCAACGCCCCTAAAACATAGGTAATCTGTGATGATTAATGTAGTTAAGATAATGAATCAGGGTTATTTGATTTGTTAGCTGACGATCCACAAAAGAGGCTGTCATCTTTGTTTTGGCTTGACGACCAATCAAAGGCTGCATATGCAGTGAGTTGACCTGAGGCCAGTGCAACCTGAGACAGAGTGCCTTCTCATGGTATAGAGATATAAAAGATAGAACTCTTTTGAATGGATTCATCCCATTCAGTCAAACTGTGCTCTTTTTGTCTATAATACTTCTGTTGTATTAGCTGCTGTTTAAAGACAAGTGGAAACAAACAGATCGCACCACAGCAATTATGATACTCAGAAACACCCCACAGACCAAAGTCCCTTGTTGTCCCAGGCTGTAAACATGTTTACATGGACACTATAGAATCAGTTTTAAGTTAAATCAGACACAAACATACTGTATATCTGAACCTGGTGTGTGTAGCCCCTTAAAAGCAGACGATGCTGAAGTTGATTTACTCTGAGGTCAGAAATCCCCTGCCTCTCTTTGCTCTTCCTCTCTCCCTCTCCTTCCTCCTCTTCCCCTCAAACATTTCTCATCTCCTCTCCTAGATGGAATTCACAAAGTGATTTTCTCCTCGTTCCTCTAAATCTCTTGATCACTTTAATTTTTTGCTAGGCTGCTTCATCGGTGTCCTGGGAAACAGAACGGAGGAGGAAGGGGGCAGGAGGAGAGGGGGAAAAGCTGATGGGCGAGAGACTGCAAACAAGGCTGGGTGAGCGTGGAGAGAGAGGAAGAGAGGGAGAGGAGTATGGAGTTAAGGCTTTATCAGTGAGTGCCCTGAGGTATGTGGGGACGCTGCTGAATCCAGAGAGATTAGGGGAAAAATGCAGCACATGGCAGTAAGGGGCTTACGCCACAGCTTGTATTAGTTCAGGTGAAAAGAGTATTGCTTTTACATAAAACTGGACAAATCCAGCCACAATGCATTTCCCGTTGGACCACAATGGGGTCCTCTATCTGTGGACCTCACCTCCTGTCCCCCCGGGTTCCCCAAAGCTCCTCTATCTAAACAGGAGGAGAGACGGAGGAAGGAGGAGAAAACACAGCCGGGCAGGAGCAGGAGGAGGAGATATGGCGCCGGACCAAACTTCATTTTCAGAGTTTACACGTTGTCACGAGGTGGCAAAGGCGTAATTTCCACAGGGGACAGGGGGTCATGTCCACCTCACTTTTCAAAATACTATTTTTGTCCCTCTGACTTTTACAATTGCGGTTTAAGTCACCTAAAGAAAACCTTTCTATACATCCTGTAGTTCCCCTTGACTGTCCGTCCACCATACAGGGAGTTACAGACGCTGTGAGTTTATAAAAGTGCTGAAACCATGGACTCTACAATCAAAGTTTGTTTCCCAACAATGACCTAAAGAAAATAAGAAAAGCTGGATGATTTTATGGCTGGTAAAATAGATTACATCATGCATTAGGATACACAAAAGTTTCCATCTCATGTATTCTAATCACAAAGACATAAAATATAGTATTTTTTATCTGTACTAAAGTTGTTCCTCACTGACATTTAAAGCTGTGTTATCATTCTTCACCATAGAAACAGTTAAAGCCAAGAAAAAGGATGAAATAAAGAAGTGTAAAAGAAGTAAAACATTCAGTGATTCTCCTAAGTGTCTGGTTATCACAGAATAAATAAGGGGCTGCGAGCTGAGCTACTGTCAACGCCATTAGTCTAGTTTCTCAGTAACAAGGTTTCAGCCAGAAGAAATGAACAACCCTGTATTTAAAGTCTGTAAAAAACACCTCAGTTCCTTGGTGATGCTTCAGGGGCTGCAAGCTGAGCAGCTGAGCAGCTCCTTCATAATAACTTAGTTGCTAACTTGGTTGACCACCAGCTTGCTGTGGTGTTATCAATATAACAGTCTGTGTGAGCTAAAAGAAGCATCCTCTCTGCTTTTCTGGATGCAACCTGGACAGATGTTTATAAAAGTTTGAGTTTGTCCCTGTATCCTTCTCCATGGGTCTTTTATAATAATTATAGTAATGCATCAGATTTCATAAAGCGCTTTATCAGAGACCCTTAAATCGCTTTACATTGGATACATCCTTCATTCGCTCACACAGTCACACCTTGGTGGTGGTAAACTACCTTAGTAGTAGCAGCTGCCCTGGGCCAGACAGACAGAAACGTGGCTGCCAGTTTGCGCCTGCGGCCTCTCTGACCACCACTTCACAACACTCACAATCACAGTGGAGGACACACACTGGGAGCGAGGTGGGTTAAGTGTCTTGCCCAAGGACACAACGGCCAGACTCCGGATAGGGGAGAAACGAACCGCCAACCTTCCGGTTATTGGACGACCACTCTACCTCCTGAGCTGCTGCCGCCCCTTTTAAACTCATCTCTGTCCCTTTTGTACAGATTTCTCTTTATACAGATTTTGTACAACAGTCTTTCTCATAGCGTTGTGAATCTACTCTGAAGGATTCAGCCGTTCTGAGTGCCCAGTTTTTGCACCCAGTCATGTAACTACCTCGTTGCAAATTAACCTCATATGTTGAAAAATATTCCTGCTTTTCTCCTTTACCTCCCTCAGTGTTGTTTTGTCCCCATCTTTACTTTTTTTGGAGTGTGTTATTGACATGCAAGAGGACAGAGTATAAAACAGAAATCACAGTCTGATACAAAAAACGCTTACTGTTGACAAAGTTTAAAATTATACCTTTTCTTTTTTTTCTTGTAACGTGATGGCTTTATCCTCAAGATATAATATTTTAAGTTAAAATTTTAACTCTATTCTTGAAATTTTAACTTAAAATAATCCCTCGTATTGCGGAAGGAGAAGATAGCCTATAAAGTTTGAGAGAAATCAAGTTTTGCAAAGAACAGGCAGAGGGAGGTTAAGATGAATGCAAATCAGATTTATAAAGAAGAAGAAAGCCTGTAGAGGGGATGTACAGGTTTGTCTGAGAGATTCAAGATGAATACCGTGAAGTGATTGAGTTAAAAGGTCTCATCTTTGTCTTTCACTTACACCCTGAAGTCTTCTTTTCTACTTTCACTGGGACTTTTATCTAAATCTTCTGTTCCTCAGGTGCGTTTATCAGCCCAGTATTTCATCTTGAAATATAGGTTGAGGGGAGCTTGGCCTGCGCACTTCTTTATCTTTCACCTGTCATGTACAGTAAGCCCGGCTAACAATGGCGCCTTACATTACATTACACGCCAGCTCTGTATTCACGCCATCCCGTCAGACATCCAAAGCGGCTCTGACACCCCTCCCATCCTCGCTATTATTGGCAGAACAATACCCTCAAAAAGCCAAGATGGTCAAAAAAGAGAGGGTTCGTATCTGCGATGGTGCTTAACATCAATTTGTGACACGATTAATCAATTTGGACCCTCTTTCTCTCCCTCTCGCTTTCTCTCTCTCCCTCTGTGTCTCGTCACTGTTGTCACTTTTAAATAAAGAGCGGCGGCGGTTTGAATGGGCCCGGGCTCATCGTGATACGGCGCAGGTTAAGTAGGAGGCGCATGTTTTAGGATAGCACCCCGCCGCTCCCTCTCGTCCTGAAACACTTAGCTGGTGATTAGCATAAGCTGATAGCGCTATCAGGAGTGTGCCATAGAGGTGACCCTGAAGCCCCCCCACCCCACCCTCCACCACCACTACCAACACCCATCCAACCCCCCCACTCTCCACCTCCTCCTCCTCCTTCTTTGTCCCTCTGAGAAGGTCTTATCAGGGATGTACAGGGCCTCTGTAGCCTCCTGGGGAGAAGATGGAGGGAGGAGGCAGAGGTGGGTACTGTTGGGAAGGAGGATGGGGGTGAATGGGAAAGAAGGGGGGGATCTGGTTGAACTAGCTGCGTCTTTGGATGTGTCCTCTAATGTTTTAATACCTTTTGAAGAAAAATTTAAGGAGATAAACTCTGGATCTGCTCCTCTTTTTTTAAAAGATTAAATAAGACAGAAAAAAATAACCATTGATTCAAATAACTGTCTGTGAATAAATATGGATGACACACCTCCATATCCTCCCATTGTACAAAAAAGTGAGGCCAAAATGTCTCCATCTTTCTTTTGGTGTTTTTCCACCTCTACATCTATCTGCACTAGTCTCCCCTCAGAGGCAGCCAATCAGAGCGCCTCATTAAATCACATCCATGCCCACACAGATCACTGTACTGAAAACAAGAATGGAAACTGAGAGGCTGCAGATAATCAGAAAAAGCTGATCTCTTGATATTTTTGCAACTAAATCCTGAACCTTGCTTCAAAGACAACTCGGACATGTTGTAAATAGCTAAAAATGCTGTTACCTATTATCTAACTTTTACGTATGGGCCCTTTTCAAGAGTAAGCATTGATATCAAGGAATGAAAGAGATCTACCTTGAAGCCTTACTGACTGTGAACAGGGTTTTTTTTGGTGGAAACAAAACGAGCAGCAGGTAAGGAGTTTAATTTTCCTAAAGGTTTGTCAACCTCTTGGTTTGGTCTCATTTTTTTGTGCTTTTATTGTAGAGGACAGTGGATTGAACAGGAAATGCAGAGAGAGAGATGGACTGACACGTAAAGGAGACACTAACTGGAGTCAACCTGGGCTGTCCATCTGAGTATAACCTTCGACTCTGGTACCATTGAAAAAAGGCAAGCACTCTCAAAATAAAGTTTCAAGTTTAAAAGTCTTTCTAATTCTCATCTAGTGTGGGGGCTGCTAGCCAAGTTGCCACCACATTATGTATCATATATCTCTTTTTTATGGGCTGTTATTTCATCGGGCACAGGGCGTCCAGGGTCTGTGAGCTGAGCTGTTTGCTTAACCAAGATTTCCTCAACGTTTCACATCACCAAGACACAAATCATCCACAGACATCTCTTCCACCTCATAATAAATGTGCTGGGTAATTTAAAAGTTTCAGACACTCACAAAAGTGTCCAGTTAAATTCAACATCTTTCCATGCTTTTTAAGGGACAGGTCTGGTGTAGGGGGCTGTCAGCTGAGCTGCTATTATGTAATTGAAACAACAGAACAATTCAGCGTGCAATTGCCTATCATTAAAGGATTATGGGACTTTACTTTTAACCGGATCATTATGTGTAAAACAAACACAGGGTGTCAAAAGGGTCTGTGAGCTGAGCTGGTAGCCTGCTTTCTGGGAACTTAGCTTGTGTTTCTCATTTCCAAAGAGTGAACTTCTTCAAATTGTCCAGAGGTCTCTTGCATTCATGTGTCCGTTGATTACGAGAAAAAAAAAACATGAAAAAATGTTGTCAGATAGGTCGGATGAGGGTGCTAGCCAAGCTGCCACCATATTTGTCACCATAATACAAGTTTGGCCTCCTTTTTTTTGTACCTCTCCAGGGTCATGGGCCTTCACCTTCACCTCTCCCTCCTTTCCCTTTAGTCCCGCCAAGTGATGTCCCAACATTGGTTTGTGGTGGCCTGTACTAAGCAGCAAAAACACTCCAGACTAAGTCCATGTTGCCGCCTTATATGTTGTGTGTGATCAGATGTGCTGTGTGTTTGCTTGTCTGCTTATCTTTCTTGTCCTGATCTGATGCTTTAAAACAAGCTCCAGACACAGGAAACAACATTCAGGATGTAATAAACTGGGTCTAACCTTCAGGTTTTAAAGGAGTCTTTAAAGAGAAAACACGTAGGAGTCCGAAATATAAAGGTATGATTGCCTTCGTGCCTAAATCTAGGTATCTAGGTAAATCTCAGCCTTTCTTTCTGTCTATCTCTCCTACGCTAAAAGTTTGAATCTTTATTTCAAACTGTGGAGCAACAATCAAACCCAGGATAAAAAGTTGATTCACCTAGATTCCTGTCTTTGTATATTCATGTTACCTATTTCAGGAGGCGGGCTGCATCTCTAAATCACTCCTACGATCCCTCGGTGAGACTTTTATTTTGTTGTGTTTTTTGTGAGGAAAAAGTATGATGAAACACGGAAACAATATAGGCGCACATAAACACAAAATGCGGCGACACATTTCTTGAAGGTAAGCAATTTCCATGCACGTTAAGAGCTTAGCATCGACGCAGCACTATTCATATCAGTTTACCATTATGATGCAAATGATAACAGTGGTGCCTGGCTGCCTTCGTTCTCCCTTTTCTTCTGCACTTTTACTACCAACAACACGGATGCACACCTACATTACAGCATGCGCA